TGGTCAACACTCAACACCAGATATTAAATCTAAACTTGTTGTTATCTAAAGTTTGATAAATTAGTTTAACAATCTTGATTTTGAAATATGATAAGAACATGAAAAGTTAGCTTCTTTATTCCAGTTATAACATTATTGACCAGGTGTGGAATAATTAGTATCCAATACTAAAGTTCCCTAGAGTTCCAAATATCAAAAGACCTTGTATATTTTATTTTAGTTTAGTTTAATATTTTAATTTAAAAACCTTAAAATCTTAAAAGAAGTTAAATATTTTAGTTTTAGTTAAAAAACTTCTCCTACATTAAAAGAAGTTAATTATTTAAGTTTATTTTAAATACCTTACATATTTTATTATTAAAATTAATTAGTTTATTAATACATAAAAATACAGTTCAAGGTCGTGTGTGCATCATTCAATGATAAAGTTAATTTGCAAAAACAATCATAGTGTTCACTGTTAAACTGGTCTAACACTCAACACCAGATATCAGTATTATATAAAACATAAATCACAATTTCATTTCATGTGTGATTTTTGAGTTGAATCAATCTTAATTTTTTTTTGTAAAATATATTTTAAGAAGACTTATAATATATAGAATATTTAAAATACTTTAGCACATGATATCTTTTCATTTAAAATATAATTATATATAATGAAAAAGCCCATATAGAAGTAAAAGCCCAACAAAGTCATACAATCATCATCATACGAACGATACAAAGCTAAGCTCCGATGCGATTCCCGGCGAAGNTTTTTTTTTGTAAAATATATTTTAAGAAGACTTATAATATATAGAATATTTAAAATACTTTAGCACATGATATCTTTTCATTTAAAATATAATTATATATAATGAAAAAGCCCATATAGAAGTAAAAGCCCAACAAAGTCATACAATCATCATCATACGAACGATACAAAGCTAAGCTCCGATGCGATTCCCGGCGAAGAAGCGAAACTGATATTTCTCCGGTGACTCAGGCAACGAACCTCACGTTGTTTGTTTGCATGTGCTGGCGATTTCGAACCCACTGTATCCATTTATCATACTTGGAATCAGCGAATAGCTTATGGCTCTGATCGATGTCGCCATCTCTTGTCTCAATTCGATCCGCGAAGTAAGTGTTTAATTCTCTTTAGGATTCCCGATCTGTTGTGTGTTTCCTAGGAAATGATTAGTGAATTTGATCATGATAGTAATTGGAGATTCAAGTTTTCTCAATTGTTGTGTGTGTTTGTGTGTTATTGGCAGATAGAAGAGGATGTGAAAGATGCAATTGTGTATATTGATGCTGGTTGCACCGAGAGTTTTCAGCTTGCAGGAGCCTTCCCTTTGTTCTTGGAGCTAGGTGCCCGTGCTGTCTGCAGCCTTGAGAACATGACTTCCCTCGACGCTGCGGTAAGCTTGTGTAGATTCTGATTTCACAATGCTGGTTAAGTAAGAGGGTATTAGTATTGCTGTTTATTGTTGTTGATTGAGAGGATGTAGTCAGAGAATGGGATTGATATGTTATCAAAGTCAGATTGTTTTTCAATTGTTATCAAATCTCAAATAGCAAGACTGAATTCTATTTTCCATTGAATTTACTTTTGGCATATCTTAGGAAACCATTTAGAGTTATTTCTCTTTATTTTCTTGTAATTTGTCTAGATCAGATATTCTGATCTATCGCAAAGGATGTGACTGTTGATACCGTTTGCTATATATATAGGTAGCTGATTGGAATTCCAAGTCTGATTGTGCAAACAGAATTGTGATTATGACTTGTCGGCTTCTCAATGATGCTCATCGATATATGCTACGTTGTCTAAACACACATCAAGGCGTTCGTCGCTGCTCAGTATTCACCTCTATTTCCGAGGTGCAACTCTGTCCTTGATCTCAATTTTTTTTTATTTTTCCTGGAACAGAAGAATAGGAACATTTGTATTGGTACTTTTAAGAAAAATCATAAGCTATTTGGCTTATACAACGTTTTGTATCTCTAGTGATTATTATAATCATAGTCAAAGAGCAATGAAGGCTTTTTTTCTAATACTGTATAACTTCAACTGTTAGGGATCTCATTCAGCCTGCCCTGATTCGCCACTTGGTCCAGACGCCTATAGAGAGTACGAAACCTTACTTGCTCAGGATTACAATGAACTTACCAAGAAGAGCGATAAAACATCTCAAGACAAAGGGGTTCCTAAGTTCTCTTCCGCACTTGAATCCCTTACGATGGAGCCTATTACAAGTGACAATGCAGATAATTCATCAGGGGATGCAGAAGGTTTGGTAGTCTCGGTGCACCATTTCCCCTTGATTATTTGTCCTTTTACTCCTAGAGCGTTTGTCTTACCTTCCCAAGGATCAGTTGCCGAAGCTTCCCTGTCCCGCCAACATGAGGATTCTCTTAGTTTTGGACTGCCTCCAATAAGCACTGGATCTATGTCTGATACTGATGATGTTCCTCCTGGTGCAACTCTTACCGCACATTTTCTTTACCAGCTGGCTCTTAAGGTAAGTTAACAGTGCAGAAATCAATTTGAACTTATTCATGATGTAGTTGAAGTTTGTGACCATGTCATTTGTTTTTGAAAAAAAAAAATGTAGATGGAGTTGAAGTTGGAGATATTTTCACTTGGTGATGTATCAAAGAACGTTGGGAAGATTATGACAGACATGTCAAGTCTTTATGATGTAGGGCGTCGAAAGAGAACTGCCGGCTTGTTACTTGTTGACCGTACACTTGATCTTATCACTCCCTGCTGCCATGGGGATTCACTTTTCGATCGAATCTTTTCATCATTGCCTCGTGCAGAAAGATTCTCTACACAAGCACAGCTTAAGCAAGGGATTCCAAGCATCGACCGTCCTTCTCTTGATGCTCAAGTGCCACTTGGGGAACTGTTAAATGAAGAGCCAAGCAAGATTAAAGATTCTGGTCTTCCTGAAGGAGTTGAAGCGTTCTTACGTGGCTGGGATTCATACACTTCTGATCCACAAAATGAATCTGACAAGAAATCTACCACCAACTGGTCTGAGCTTCTAAATGGATCTCTTGTAGCCACTGAATGTTTTAGAGGGACGCCTTACTTAGAGGCCATGATTGAAAGGAGAACCAAGGATGGAAGTGTACTGGTGAAGAAATGGCTTCAAGAGGCTCTGCGTCGTGAAAATATCTCTGTGAACGTGAGAGCTCGTCCTGGTTATGCCACGAAACCAGAGCTCCTGGCCATGGTCAAGGCATTGTCCCAAAGCCAGTCGTGTATGTTGAAAAACAAAGGGATTATTCAGTTAGCGGCAGCTACAGCCGCAGCGCTTGATGAGTCTCAAAGTGCGAAATGGGAGGCTTTTAGCAGTGCGGAGATGATGTTAAATGTAAGTGCTGGTGATACGAGTCAGGGTTTGGCTGCTCAAATCAGTGATCTGATCAACAAAAGCGCTTTGGCAGAGCTTCAAGCGAAGAAGAATGAGAAACAAGATTCCTCATCACGAGGGCTTCTGTCTTTTCGAGATGCTCTCCTTCTTACAATAGTTGGTTACATTCTTGCTGGAGAGAATTTTCCTACAGCTGGCTCAGGCGGACCGTTCTCTTGGCAAGAAGAGCATTTTCTCAAAGAAGCCATTGTCGATGCTGTTCTCGAGAATCCTTCAGCAGGGAATCTCAAGTTTCTAAATGGGTTGACAGAAGAGCTTGAGAGCAGGTTAAACCGCCTAAAGTCGGAGGACACCAAAGAGACTCCCTCTGATGATCCGTTAGACATTGATGCGCTTGATGAGGATCCATGGGGAAAATGGGGTGATGAGGAAGATGAAGAAGACAATAATAGTAAAGCAGACGACTCCTACGACGATATGCAGCTAAAACTGGATTTGCGTGATAGAGTAGACAGCTTCTTTAGGTTTCTCCACAAGTTATCGAGTCTGAGAACAAGGAATGTACCATTAAGAGAAGGCTCGTTGGCTTCAGAGAGCAGTTTCCCGGGAGATCCATCTGGAAACAAAGGGCTACTCTACAGGCTTATAACAAAAGTGTTGAGCAAAGATGAGATACCCGGTTTAGAATACCATTCCTCAACAGTAGGAAGGCTTTTCAAAAGCGGGTTTGGAAGGTTTGGTCTTGGTCAGGTTAGCTAGCACTTTCTCTTTAACTCTGTATTTACTTCCTTTTTACCACATCCCCATGAGAAAATGAGAATACACATTGATCTTTCTCAAAACTATTGCTTGCAGGCAAAACCAAGCCTTGCAGACCAGAGTGTCATTCTTGTCTTTGTCATTGGAGGAATCAATGGTCGAGAGGTTGGTTATCTTACCACATTAAGTCACTAATTTTTTTTTCATTTTAGACCTTATCTTTGTAGTTAACCGTCTCTGTTCCCTCCATTGTCAAGGTTATGGAATCTCAAGAGGCTGTGGCGGAGAGTGGAAGACCAGACATTGGGTTGGTTACAGGAGGAACAACTCTCCTAACTCCTGACGACATGTTCGAGCTTTTGTTAGGACAGTTCAGCCACTTTTGATCTTTTTCAAAAACGAAAAAAAAACTCACTCCATCTCTTGTTAAGCTGTGTATTAGAAAACCAATGATGAATCTAATAAGAGGAATGTGTAACTTTTAAAACTACAGTTCCATTTTCGAAAGAAACAAAGAGATTCGGGTATCAACTGTGAATAAGCGTATTTTTCATCATTGGTCCCTCAGTTTTCGTAATTTCAGAGAAAAAGCTTTTAATTAAAACTGAAATCTCAAATCCCCTTAAGTCACTCTCTCATTGTCTCTCTTGTTAAGCTCTGTATAAATGATGAATCTAATAAGAGAATAATGTGTAACTTATAAAACTACAGCTCCATTTTTCGAAAGAAAACAAGAGATTCGGGTATTAACTGTGAATAAGCGTATTTTTCATCATTGGTCCCTCAGGTTTCGTAATTTTATAGAAAAAGCTTTTAATTAAAACTGAAACTTCAAATCCCCTTAAACCTCAGAAGACTTTGCACTTCACACGAAAAGAAAAGAAAAACCTCAATGGCAGCAATGAAGCTTCTACTCTCTCAAGCTCGCCGCCAAGCTCTCACCAAACCCTTCTCCTCCCCATTTCCACAAATCCATAGACTCTTCTCATCCTCTCCATCATCAGATTCGAATCCAAACCCTCCGCCGAATGAATCTCCCAAAAAGCTCGAGCCGGTGTCATACGCCGCCAAACCCTCCGAACCCTCTTCACCGGAAGATCTCTCTCGTCTGACGCGAGAAGAGATCCGATACACAAAAGACTCTCCTTCACTCACTCCCGTATCCTACGCGCAGCGCGTGGCTCCGCTTCCAGAGGATCGCGTCGTCAATGAGGAAGACAGAGAGAGAACTCCAGAGGAGATGGAGATGGAGAAGAAGAGGATTGATTCGGAGAATCGAGCGAGGAGAAGGTTCTTGAGAGCTACAGCTGTGGAAGAAGATACTTCTTCGCTTCCTTTGCCGACGTTGCTTAAACCGGAGCTGAAGCATGGAAAGAAACCTATTTTCGATCTCATGGAAGCTATTAGAGAGATAAAGGTTGAGACTTTTAATCCATATGATTGGTTTTGTGTGTGTTTGATATCAAAAGGCTTAAACTTTTGCTTGTTTCGTGGAGTTAAGGCCTTACTTGTTTCACGTAGGGAACTTCGGACGAGTAATGTAGTTTCATGAAAGTTTTGTTTAAGTGGTAGTACTGTGAGAGTTGTGGATTCTATGGACTTGTAATTGGTATTGTTGTGTTGAGTTTTGAGTAGAGTGGGTGAGGAGAGAATGAACCAGGGCTCGTCAAATTGTGCATCTCTTGTATGATTATTTATATCTTGGTTCTTATGTTTTTCTCCATTGGTGGTTCAGGGCAATGCCAAGGCCAAGTTTTTGTGTGTTTCCTTATGATATCAAAGGATGAGACTTTTGCTTGTTTTGTAGCTATATAATGCGAACATAGCTGTAGACAATGCGGTTGTGTTTAGAAGTTGTTAAGGCCTTACTTGTTTCATGAAAGTTTTGTTTAAATGGTAGTACTGTGAGAGTTGTGGATTCTATGAATTTGTGAGTAGTGTTGTTGTGTAGAGTGAGTGAAGAGAGAATTGAACCAGGACTTGTCAATTATGTGTATCTCTTATATGATTGATTATATCTTGGTTCTTATGTTTTTTCTCCATTGGTGGTTCAGGGCAATGCCAAGGCTAAGTTTGATGAAACTCTTGAGGCTCATGTGAGGTTAGGCATTGAAAAAGGCCGATCTGAGCTGGTAATTTTTTTCTCTGCATGTTTGGCTATCATTTTCCTTGTTTCGTTATGTTTGGACTGACTGCGATTACTGTTTAAAACTGCAGATTGTTCGTGGTACTTTGGCGCTACCACACTCTGTTAAAAAGGTACAAGAAATGCCTCTCTTATCCTTTCATGGGAAATTTTATGTATCGGCCATTTAGTAAATAGAAAGAAATGGTCTTTCCTTGTTTAGGATGTGAGAGTGGCTTTCTTTGCCGAGGGTTCGGATGCTGAGGATGCAAAGGCTGCAGGAGCTGATGTTGTTGGTGGTCTTGAGCTTATTGAGGAAATCTTAAGTAATGAAACCAATTTCATTTTACTTCATCTTCCTTCCGTAAATCACTTCTGACATTTTATTGATTGATGATTATTCGTACTTGACTCTATCTGCAGAAAGTGGCAAGATCGACTTTGATAGATGTCTTGCAACTCCCAAAATGATGCCCCGTGTTTACAAGGTTCTTAGAATTTAAGCACTTATCCATAATTCATCTATAAGATGATCATTCTCACTAAGTATGCAAGTGGCTTTATTTGCTTATTTGCAGATATCGAGGATTCTTAACAACCATGGTCTGATGCCTAACCCCAAAGTAAGTTGGATTATTCACTGAACATCTTACTCTACTCAGTATAATTAACCTCTTACCCAATAACCTAATTCAGCTCACATTATAATTTATTGTAGCAAGGTAGTGTGACGAAGGATGTAATGAAAGCAGTGAAAGACGCAAAAGCAGGACATACCAAATTCAGAATGGATAAAACTTCCATTCTTCATGTGCCACTTGGAAAGGTTACATCTCTCCCCCAAAGACTCTTATCTGAATTTCATTATCTATATATATATATTCATGGGAAGAACACTTTCCTTAACCAGATGAGCTTCCCTGAGGATGCTTTGAAGGAGAACGTTGGTGCCTTCATGAACGCCCTTTTGCTGGCTAAGCCTGCAGGATTGAAAAAGAGTAATAACTCCATACCCCACGCTTTTGGTTACTTATAGAAATCTTTGTTTTGGATGATTTGAGTGGTTACTCTTTTACTCTCTATGCAGCTTCAAAATATGCTGGTTATGTGAATGCATTCCACTTATGCAGCACGGTAAGCTCTTGAATCCAAACCCAAAGTAGAAAAAAATATTCTTAGACTCTAGTTAAGCGTATAATAAATTGATTTTAATGGTGGTTATATTTGCAGATGGGAAAGGGTTATCCGGTATCGATACAGTCGCTATCTAGAGCAGCAGATCACTATACCAAATTGCAGCTCAAGTGAGAGTGAGCAATAGACCCCAAAAGATAAAAATCTTGTTGTTGCAGGCGTTTTCAATTCTTCCCGGGGAAGATTTATTACTTGTTTCCGAATGTTGAATTTTTGGAACAGTCTTATGACTTGTTGTTTACTAGGTTAGTCTTTTCATAGTGGATTGGATTGCTTTATACAATCCAAGTCAAATTCATGTCTTAATAATGATATGACAATGTCTAAATTGCTACTCATCACATCACTTGCAAAATTAATTCATTTTTTCTGTTTTGTTAAAAACATAAATCTTTGCATTTTTTTTTGAAAACCTGTTAAGAGTTATAACAGTGTGTTTCAAAAAATTTCACTAGCTCAAGACAAGATAACTTCTTTCAAGACTCTTGTGTTCGGTTTTGAAACACTCTTGTTCTCAGTTTTCTTTACTTGTCTGAATCTTATCTACCTACAGTTACGTAATGGAAATATATCTGATTTCGTGTGAGATCGATCTCAAGCAAACCGATTGAAACAAAAAAAAAAAACTTGGCGGGTAGTTGAAGTGTGAAGAGACACCTCACTCCACAACCTAACACGTGCCACCATCGGTTAAGCACGCTTTCGCCGGTCGCCGTTAGATTCATACTCAGATTCCAAATAACCTTCCATGGTTCTTATCTTGCCACCTCAGCAACGTCACCCTCGTACTCCTTTAACTTCTTCTTCCTTCTCTTCACAAAAAAAAAAAGACTTTTTAATATTAATTCAAAAATATCGACTTTCTCCTCTTAGCGTATTGATCGGAACGAATCTGATCGAACCCTTGAGAGGTTCTTCAATGGCGCAGCTACTCTCCCCTGTTTGTACGGATCTTTTAAAGTTCCAGAACTCTGTTCTTAACTCCAGATCAAGTACCTCGCGGTTCTCAGCAAAGCCAAGCGGTTCTGCTTCGTCTTGGTGCTTACCTGCACACGCAAGAAGGAGACGAAGTAGCTACATCGGAAGATTGAGAGTTGCAACAGAGGATGCTTCTTCTCTTTCCACCGGCGATGTTGCCGATGATTACTATGCTGTTCTCGGACTGGTAACCCTAATATCCAAAAGTTTGTTGTGTATACACTCTTTTTAACATCCAAAGGTTGTGACTTTACATCTCTTTCTTGGTTCTGTTTTCAACAGCTTCCAGATGCGACACCAGAGGAGATTAAGAAAGCATATTATAACTGTATGAAGTCTTGCCATCCAGATTTGAGTGGCAATGACCCGGAGACCACAAACTTCTGCATGTTCATCAACGATGTATATGAGGTGAAGTTTTGACTTTTGAATAGGTTTTTTGTAAGGTCTTCATGTGTTCTGCTTTTGGTTTCCGCTGGTGTTAAGGTGTTGTGTTTGCAGATTCTTAGTGATCCTGTACAGAGAATGGTTTACGATGAGATTCATGGGTATGCAGTGACTGCCACCAATCCTTTTCTTGATGACTCTAGCCCAAAGGATCATGTCTTTGTTGATGAGTTTGCTTGTATAGGTATATACTCTTAAAGTTCATTTCATTTGAGGGAGGTCAAGGCTGATGATATGTGTTTACTGTTTTGATAGGCTGTAAAAACTGTGCCAATGTGGCTCCAGATATATTTAAGATTGAGGAAGACTTTGGTAGAGCAAGAGCATGTAACCAGCGTGGCAACCCGGATTTGCTTCAGCAAGCAGTTGAAACATGGTTAGGATCTTATATTTTGTTACATAGCTGCAAGTAATTGTGGAGAACTGATTAGGAGATATGCCTTTTCTTTTTCTTTTGTTTCAGCCCAGTTGATTGCATCTATCAGACTTCTGCGGCACAGTTGTCATTGCTTGAAGATGAAATGCGTAGGGTTGAAAGAGTGAATGTAAGATAGCATTTTTTTTCTTGTAGCTCTCTTATTGTTCACTTGAGAAAAATAAGGTTTCTTGATTATATTGGTTTCATGTGCATGGGATTGTCATTGATGTATTCAGGTTGCTCTGATGCTTTCTGGAATGGGATCAGGAGCTGTTGATGTTTTCCGAATGGTAAGAATCTTTGTAGTTGACTTTGGCCTATGTTTTCATCCATAGTGAAACAAAGGTTCGTTGAATCCATTACAGGCGAGATCTCGATGGGAAAAGAGGCAAGCAAAAGTTTTGGTATGAACTATCTACTAGAACTGTTTGTAACATTTGATATCATCATGACATTATGTAAGTCATAAGTGCTTTGCCTATGTTTTCAGAACCAAGCTAGAACTAGAATGATGAAGAGGAAAAACACAGATGAAACACCTTCCTATTGGGATAACCTCTGGGGCAAAGACAATCAATACCAGAAAAGCGGTAAAAGATTCATATAGTATTCTCTCATTCACTTTTGGCCACTGATCCTATAATAAATATATTTTACTATCTTTCTATGTCTGTGACAGAGGAAGAAGTACAAGAACGAGCTCAGCGAGCCGCCGCAGCAGCCAGGAGATGGAGAGAATACTCACGAAGAGGCGTGGATAAGCGGCCAACCTTCAAACTCCCTGACTCCTCATCCTCCACAGGAGACAACTGAAACCACCTCCAGACATGAATCATAATGGTAGTAAAGTATATATGTAATAACTTCACTGTTCTAGACTTGTATAGCTTTCTTCCCACATTGATTTTGTGGAAGAAGAAAAACAAGTGTATAAACGTTTTCATGTATAAGTCTCCAACGCCTAAATTGTGGACACTAATCCAATAGTTTTCATTAAACTATAAAACATAGAATCCTAATCCTAATTCATCTCACACCAATAGTATCTATGTAGAATTCATTCGATATGGTTAAACTTGTTCTTCCAGATTACAGTTTATAAACCACAGGCAAACACTAATCAAATATATTTTGTTTATTTGAATGTTATAAAAGAACTTTGCCTCAACCATCAGTCAAGGACAATTATTCTGTGAATACAACAAAAGAGAGAGATTCTTAATTTATTTTGGAGTGTGATCTTATCAAGACTTGATTCTTTGTGTTGTGGTGTGTTGCATGGTATGGTATAGGACCTAAGCTGAAGATCCAGCCAAACGTCTTCTTGATGCATTCGAAGTCGAGACTTGACCCAACTTGTCTGACTCCTTTGACTCATCCGTCACCATCCTCTCTCTAACTGGTGTGTAATGCCTAAGCCACACTCCCGTGTACACCTGCAACATTAAAAAAAAAAAACCAAATGAGACGATCCTACGTTCTCATTCTCTGCAAGTGAACTACTCTAACCATATACCTGTTGTGGCCTCATGATCTTGGTGTCAGGATCATCCAGCGACTCTTTCCAATGAGACAAGTATCCAGCCATACGAGGAATAGCAAACAAGACAGTGAAGAACTCTGGTGGAAACCCCATTGCTCTGTTTCAACAGTCCAAGTTTGTAGATATTAGATTAAGTTGTAAAGTGAAAGTGGTCAAAACTTCTTTTACCTGTATATTAAACCAGAGTAGAAATCAACATTTGGATAAAGCTTTCTCTGAACAAAGTAATCATCCGAAAGAGCTGCCTTCTCCAGAGCAACGGCTACTTCAATTAGAGGATCTCTTCCAACAATGGAGAACACTTCATCTGCTAGCTTTTTTATGACTTTAGCTCTTGGGTCATAGTTCTTGTACACACGGTGTCCAAAACCAGACATCTTCCTCTTTCTAAGATGACGTCAAAAGAGATGAAACTATCAATGCAAAGGCTCCTCAGCATAGAGTTTTAAGCATTGAGTGTTTACCTGTTTTTCACACCTTCGATAAACTCTGGAATGTTATCAACACTTCCAATCTCTGACAACATCTTAAGCACAGCCTAATAGAACCAAAGACCATGGATTATACAATATACATCACAAGAATGTCCATATGAAGACAGATAAGTATAAACAGCAAACCTCGTTTGCACCACCGTGAAGTGGACCATAAAGCGCACCCACAGCTCCAGCAACAGCAGTGTACACATCAACACCACTACAAAAACACATCTCTTACTCAAAATCTCTCTCTCATTAAAGTGGCGAAGACTAAAAATCAAAGAGGTGTGTGTGTACCTAGAGGCAAGATGCCGAGCAGCAGCGGTAGAGCAGTTCATTTCATGCTCAGCATGAAGTATGAAGAGAATGTCCAACACCCGAGCTAGCCGAGGGTTAGGTTTGTAGGATCGGTTTCCCCTGTAAGAAGATAGAAATTCATCTCAAGTCTACAATGACTAAGCTTCCCATTGCATGAGATTATGGTGAGGGGACATACATGGAATCAAGCATATAGAGGAAGTTCTCAGCATAAGAAAGGTTTCCCGAAGGAAGAACAGGAGGCCTCCCTGCCATCCTCAAGTAAGCAGCTGCTGCAATAGTTGGTGCTTTTCCAATAATGCGAATAATTTGTTTATCTCTAACTTGTTTTGAGTTGTATATTTCCTGGCCCTGCGCCCAACAGAATATTCTAGTTCACATCTTCATAAGACTGTAATCTTGACTTATAAGCGGAAGAATGAAAAATTTAACTTACCCTGAGAGCAGGATTAGCATCAGGATGGAAGATAGAAAGTGCACTCATTGCACTAACAAGAACTCCCATGGGGTGTGCATCATGTGGCATAGACTGTATTATATCCTATTATCAAGAAACTCCGGTTAAGTAATGATAAATCTTTGGAACAATGCACACTATAACCCTCAGAGGTTTGCAAGCACAGAAGATACTATTCTAATGATAAGTTCACATGGTACTCTAAGGACTAAGGGACTCACTAGAACTCCTTGAGGCACAGCTGAATGCTGAGAAACAGCAAACTCCCAATCAGATAGCTGACTTTCAGATGGTAGATTCCCATACACTGCCACAAACGATATAACCCACATGTTGTTAGTAAAACAAAAAAACTCAACAGCCATAGTTTCATCAATACAATTTGATTTTAGAAACCACAACAAAAAAAGTAGTGTTCAAAAAAAAAAAAACACAACAAAATAAATTTATCCATCCAACATCTTCGGTTATTAGGTGAAACTTCTATAAATTAATAATGTTGAAAATACACCAAAACTATAAATTTTTTATTAATTTATAAAGATTATTAATTTATCGATATACTAATTGAACCAAAAATTTAATTTGGAACTATAAAATTATATTATTTTATAGAGATTTTTTAGTATATATTAATTTATAGAATATTAATTTATACTGTAGCTATTTTCAACAACATCAAGAAAGTTGCAACATAATCTAATACTTACTCAGAAGATATGCAACTTCAAGAAAGGTACTATTCTCAGCCATTTCCTCTATTGGATACCCACGATAACGTAGGATCCCTTCATCTCCATCGATGTAAGAAATCGAAGACTTAACAGGAGCCGTGTTCAAGTAACCAGGATCATATAGTTTAAGCCCTTTGTCCTCCTTCCCCATCGAAATCTACAAACCATATCAGATCTCAGTTTAATTAACTAAAAAAAAAAATCAGTTACTTGTCCCTTACGCTTAATTAAGCTCTCATCAAACCTAACAATAACAAGATTATCTACTTACCTTCTTGAGATCAACGGCTTTAACGGTACCATCATCTGAGACAGGAACCTGATATTTCTTCCCTGTCCGCTCGTCAACGATCGTCAACGCTCCCTTCAACGATCCGTGCGTAGCTGCTGACGTGGACCATCGCTCGATCGCTGGAGAACTTGACTCGAAGGGATCACCTGATGTCAGATGAGCCGAGAGAATAGCTAACCGAGCTCTAACTCTCTCTGATATCTCCATCTTTTGAACACAACTAAAAGATTATTACAGTCTACAGAACAGAGAAAAAAAATGTAGAAGAAAGGAGGCTTAAGCAAGCTATATAATAACAACGTGTTTCTATCGTCTACGGACAAGAGTATTGACTTGGGACCCACATATCTAGTTGGTTTGCCTATCTCTTTAACTTAAGCTTACTCTAGGTGCTTGGAGAGTAAAGTATACGGAGTTCTTTGGAAGTGACACGTGTTAGTTTGTTCCGTGCTCGTGTCTTTCGACGCTTGGAAAAGCAAGTAGAAGTCCTCGATTTGCTAAATTTGTGATCCTTTGAATTTTTAAAAATGAAACAAACACACAATAATTGGCAAAGTAAAGGTTGATGGGCCAATTATTTTAGTGTAGGCTTCTGGATATGAGTAAAATGGGCCATTTGTTAGCACGTTCCCTTTATTCTATTTAGCTTCACTCATTTTTTTTTTGTTACAATTGCAAGTATGGAACCAAACCAACATTGATGTTGAAAACTAAATAACTAGAAGGTTTTGGGTTCTAAATAAATCTTCTTATAACGAAACTAAAAGATATCATGTAATTTAATTTTCATTTGAAACACATACTTTGAAAAGATTGAATTTATTATAGTAGATAATCCAAAAGTTTTTAACCATTAAAATATATTGTGGTCATGTTATGTATTATGATGACATATGTACCTTATTATCCGATAATCATATACTGAAAAGAAACTAGTCACTAAAATCTAACTGAATTACATATAGTAGAGACATAGAATAGTCAGTTATGAATGAGTAAACTAATTATAGTTTAAATGACTCGAACTACAATCTAGCCCTACATCACTCGAACTACTATCTAGACCCACATGGTGAGCTATGGTATGCTGCACGTCTGCGTACCAACTTATGTATATATAGTTATCAAATACATGAGATGAGAAATGATTCTCTAATGTTTCTTTATTAATTTGTTTGGAGAGTGATAGGTCTCTAATAAATGAAATGTTAAAAGCGACATGTCGTATATAGTTTCACTTGTACCTAAATTTAGAATTCTGAGTACCCCCCACGTGAGGCTCTGAATATATGAGAGTGATAGATATTTCTTTCAATTTACGTTTTCAACTAATGAACCATCTCCTTTTGCCTTGCTAATATACAAATATAAATCACAACTTATGAATTATTATTCTTATTAAAAGATAAGTTTCACTGGAGATTACTATGGTGTTTTTCATGCATGGCTCTTTAAGTTTGTTAAACGTCTAGGAAATTATTGAAAACGTAAAATTTTACATCAAGCAAAGCTATATGTGTAGTTATTGTTGAAATTAACAGCAAGAAAGTACTTGAAAAATAGATATCACTAATATACTATTGTATAAAAAGTTTTTCATACGAATGGAATTCCCCTCCACCCTCCCCACAAAAAAAACAATAATTAAAAAAAAGAAGAGAAATGTGTGAAAGCAGCAATGCTATTTTTGCCGGAAGAAATAAAGCATGCGAATGAGAGTGTACTCATCAGAGTAGTTGGATTTAGACAGATGACTGACGAAATATTATTATTTTCTAGTTTCTCCTATTTATGGTGTTTTCATTATCATATTTTTAAATATAGAATCACTAAATATATTTAAGCTCTCATTAGTCACATCACATCCGCAAGATAAGAAGAGGATTATACACAAATTTGTTTAATCAATCATTTGAGATAAGAAGAAGACCATACTAAATTTTGTTTACTCAATCATTTGAGGGTGTCATCACGTCAAGAGTACGTAGTATGACACCATGCATGGAAGTTTAATTCTTTGACAATTATGCAAAAAAATCTCATATACAAACATTTCTTTGAAAAATAAAATAAGATAACAGCTATGTATTACACATTAATCAAACATATCAGAATGTAATTACCCTTTATTCTCTGAAATTTTACATTCTTTTCATAAATCAATACTACTATTTTGTAACTCTTTAATAATATTTTTGTATAGTCAGACTGTATCAGGTTGTGTCGTTTCATTATATCATCACACTGCCACCACTCTTCCTCCAAACAGCTCTCCCTTATTTTTTTTTGTTCAGTACACCCTACCTATTAAATATTTATATATCTATCTAAAACAAATTTCTTGAAACTTTACAAAAAAATTATAATCCAGTAGAAAACAAAAACGTCGTTTCATCTGTTATTTTCCTTTTCTATGCACACACATTTATATACACACGGCTATGAAGTTGTTCAGGTTCCATATATATATATATATACACCTAAATGACTGGAACTTTTTATTAATATAATCTGAAAATATTAATACTATTAAACTAAAAACAACATTTAACTACGACCACTAAAAAAACACTAAACCCTTGAAACCAACGTCTACTTCGGGACCAAACACAAATCTCCTCTCTTTTTCAGGAACTAATATTTTAATTGTCTTAATTCTGTTTTTTTTTTCTTTTATTACCGATGATGACGTAAACACAGAAACAGAGCCACCTGAAACAGAGCATTAGACCAAAAGCAAGAAGATCCGTAACAACACCGAGAACTATAGCCTTGAGATTTCTTCTTCGTTGGATGAATCAACACACCACCACCGCTACTAACATTCTTCCCGCACACATCAACACCTGTCTTAACAACACTGAACTCATCCTCTGGATTCAGACACAACCCTCTGTTCCCGCTCAAATCCAAATTCTTACCCAACCGTCTCAAAAAACTCGAATCAAACGGAACCACACCGATCAACGAGTTCCTACTCAGATTCAGATGAAAAACGTGAGGTAAAGAATCAAACCCTGAAGGGATCTCTCCCGTTAACTTGTTGTTAGCGAGAGACAAGGAGCTGAGATTCATCAGCCTTGTGTAACTCTCCGGGATCACGCCGGAGTATCCTGAGTTCTCGAGCTGGATCTCTTGGAGCTTAGGGAGGAACCCTAGCTCAACGGGGAGGGGTACGTACATTGGATTGTTATCCATTATGAAGTACTGTAAGCTCTCAAGATTCGAGATTCCTTTTGGGAAAGATCCTCTGAGTCTGTTGTTGCTTAAGGCAATGAATGATAGAGATCGGAGCTTTTCTACTCCTTGTGGGATGGGTCCGAAGAGAGAGTTTGAGCTCAAGTCGAGTTTTTGAAGCAAACCCAGTTGCGAGATTGTGTTAGGGATTGTGCCTGTGAGCTTGTTGTAGCTTAAGTCTAGTCCCACGAGGTTGTTGAGGTTTCCTAGTTGGTTAGGGATTGTCCCTGTGAGCTTGTTGTAGCTGAGATCGAGGTGTACGAGGGTTTTTAACGAGAAGATAGCTTGAGGGATGGGTCCGGTTAGTTTGTTTTGCGAGAGGGTGAGGATCTGTAAAGACTTGAGAGATGAAATGCGAGGAGGGATGAGGCCTGAGAGAGAAGGGTTTGATCTGAGGCTGAGCTGTTGAAGAGAGGAGTTTGTGATGATGATAGGGAAGGTGATTGTGGTTGGGAAGTGAGTGAAGCAGTTGAAGAAGAAGATTGATTGGAGGAAAGGGAGAGTGAAGATCAAGTAAGGGAATGAAGCTGAGGGTTTACAAGATGGGTTTGGAGCAGAGCCGAAATCGAGTCGTGAGACGTGAGGTAAGTGGTCTGGACCGGTTTTGCATTCAATGCCTGGCCAAGATGAGCCTGGTGAGCAAGGGTTTGGGTGGGAGTGACGCCATTGTTGATCTGATGACATTGACTCCATGATTGTGAAGAGAGTCTCTGACTCAGAAGGAGGCATTGACACTGTGTTAGCTTCGCAGAGGAAGAGTGGTGTTATCAGAAGATGGAAGAGCAGTGAGGAAGGAGAGGGTGAAGCTCTCTTCATCGTTATGGTGTAAGAGAGACAGAGAAGAAAGAGTTTTTTGGTGATATTATTATACTGAGAATTCAGAAAGTTTTTCTTTCTCAAAAAAAAAAAAAAAAAAGGATGTGATGTTGATTAGAATGTTTAAGTGTGTGTTGAGTGAAGGGTTTAAGGATTATGGGACAAGACAAGACAGAGACACGTGAACAATCAGAATCTAAACAAGGTATGATAACAGAGTGTAGACTTATTAGAAGAAAGCTAGTAAAGAATAGAAATAGGTTTTGAGTGTGTGTGTGTGTGTTTGTGAGAGAGAGAGATGCAATTATAAATGGAAGTGACTGAAAGTGACACGTGTGGGGTCGTGAGAGACAAAGAGGTAGGGACTCAGGAACATGAGATTGGTAAGAGAAGAGTAGACACAAATTAGAAAAAAGAGTACTTGATGGGGGGTTTTGTAAGGCCATACACACATGTTTCTACTTTATTTAAGCACTTTTTGTTTGAACCAGTTTTGAGGGACTTGTCTTTGTTGGTACGTTAATCTCGTGAATACATTAGCTCCTTCACCTTGACTCTCTCAGGTTATGTGGAGTGAGTCTCTCTCTCTTTCTAACCATGTGATAATTATAAATGTATACAAACAAAACTGACAGAGTATTACCAACACACGCATTCATAGAAAAATATGTTAAAATCACAAATCTAAAACATAATGAGGCTTAAGAAAATATGTAAAGAACAGTGACCATGAAACTTGAATAAACACATTGTTCGTTCCAACTAAACGGATACAAGCATCAACTTTGAAGACAGCACACCAGATAACATTCACAATGTGTAGTTTGTCCAGGCTGTCTCTACTATAGCTCACAGCAGTTCTTGACTGTTCACTCAATAGTTCATGAATTTACCCTATCAAATACTTCAAATCATTTTCCTCTTTAGATATCTTGTTTAAATAAAAAAAAGCTAATAAGGAAACACTCTTGAAAAGTGGTGGGCATATCTCTCACTATTCAATGTCTTCAATTATTCATGTCTCTTTTTCTTTCTAAAATTTCTCTGATCAGATTCTATCATCCTTTGTTTGAACTTTGAAATGAAAAACAAGATCATATCTATATTACTTGTAGCTTAATCCAACACAATGGCAACAACCATTTACAACAACATATACACACTTTTTAATTTAAAACAAAACTAATTCAAGAGGTTTTTAAATATCAATACAAAATATATTTTCAATTATTGTAAGTTACTATTAAAAATGTCAGAAATATGCTAAATTTTTTTTGTCAGCAAAAAAAAATTAACAATAATGTACAACGGTCAAATATTAGCGAAAAAAATAGCAATAATGTCAGAAACATGCTAATTAGAAGAAGAAAAACATAGAGAAGAAAAGAAAAGAAAAAGGTCAAAATTTCAAAAGTTAATTGATTGTACTACATTTGGCAATAATGTACCAGATTATTTTTTGAAGTAGGTACATGTATGTGTTGTATATGTAGTGAATGATCTAATCTCTAGCCTGGACTCACTTGAGTGGTAAAATCATATATGGCCTACAACGAATTGATCAAACAAACGGTCATAAAAGTATCTGAATTAGTAGTACAACACTCTTAAAACCTCCCTTTACCAACATCATCATATTAATCTAGTACTTCTTTCACATTTCATTCTTCTATGTTACTTTTGTTATTATTTTTATTTAATCCAAAGTAATGCTTTATGGATCTCTCATTCATCTTCTCTTCAGTGCTTTTCGATTTGACACCACTTCCAATTCTATTATTTCCTTTTTGCTTTGTCCACAGTTTCCTACAGATCTCTATGCATCATCAAGATATATTAATAATATATAAACCACAGTTACCGTCTGAACAGTGAACACTACTGGATAATGATTCATCAAATCATCAAATGCTATGTGTTGATCTATCTACAAAAGAGGGATTATAATTCTGTTATTCTGTAGCAGTTGATTGATAAACATGGAGGAATTTTATGAGAATCTGCAGGTATCTTCTTACATAGATATATTTAATCTGAAGCATCTCATGTGGGTGAGGGTAAATCAATAGTGCTAATAGCTTACTGCAGTGTTCATAGCTGTCTCTTTANTGCTATGTGTTGATCTATCTACAAAAGAGGGATTATAATTCTGTTATTCTGTAGCAGTTGATTGATAAACATGGAGGAATTTTATGAGAATCTGCAGGTATCTTCTTACATAGATATATTTAATCTGAAGCATCTCATGTGGGTGAGGGTAAATCAATAGTGCTAATAGCTTACTGCAGTGTTCATAGCTGTCTCTTTAGACCATGTGAATTAAACAGGTCACTTTTGGTACAAAACGCTAACAAGAGAGGGGGAAAAACTGTTGGAAGAAAATATATATTGTTACATCTGTCTTTATTTGTCGTTTTTGTCTGAATATGTGAATCAAGTCCTACTTCGAAAAGAATCTAAAGGTTAAATAAGAAGCAATCAAGAAGCCTAATGAAACCACCCTCTGTGACATGTTTGTACATAGTTTTTGGGGGGTCATTTGGTCACTTTTTTGTGGTGTAATCATCTAAAATAAGAATGATCCATTAACCCCTCTAAGAACAAAAGACAAAAGAGACAAACGTTACTGGGTAAGCTTTAGAGGAAGGAAAAAAAAGCTTTAGAGGAAGAGGAAACATCTTTATCAAAAAAGAAGAAAACAGATTAAATCTTGATACTGTACCTTTTAATTATATCATGGGCTCCCTTTTCTGAAACAACATGAAAAACTGCAGAAGATGATAGAAAAGCAAAAAGAAAAACTTATATGATTATGTTTCTGAAACACTTTTGGTCTTGAATCTGCTTAACATTTCCGTTGAAGAAGCATTCTGCTTGGTTAGTTGAACATTCTCATAAAATTGCTTGCATAGGCCATTGGCTTCACATCAGGGTGAGGCTGTAAAATCACAAAATAATAATAATCAGAATATCAGAAGAACCTTGAAACGAGTCTAAAACAATAACAATGATGCAGAAGCTAAAATTAGACTCACCACTGCAGTGAATGTAACAATGTTTGGCTTCATATCTGGAGCTTCAAAGCGAATGAAGGCTCCCTTGTTACCCATCTGCAACAATACATGTTCATGTTTTAAGTAAGAAACAAGTAATTTGGTGTTGTTCAAAACTGAAAAGAGGAGTTTCTGAATTACCTGATCACAGTAGTTTGGTGCAGAGAAGACAGTGATGAGCTTGCCATCATGATCAACCTCGTATCCTTCATCCTTTACTTCATGTGACCGCACCACCAAATCTTCCACATTAAAAAAAAATATTAGTCAATTAGTGAACACCATTTGTTGTAACGCAGGGAAGCTACACTAACCTAGATTGTTGTCTTCCAAAAACCTTTTCGTTACATCTCCACCAAATGAGAGACCAACTCCTCGCTTGCTTGGGCCTCTTCCAGGGAGAGGTTGAGGATCACTCCACAACAGTTCACACATCAATCCTAAAAAAAACATATTTCACAAGATTAGATGTAATCATATAAACAAACATACAAAAGATATGTATGATGGAAACATACCTTCCTCGGGAGGCTCACAGAATCGGTCAATGGCTCGGATGTCCGAGAGCTTCACGCCATCGACACTGAAGAGACCTCCATGCACCACGAATATCTTCTCATTGATAACGTGAGCCAATGGAAGATAACAGAATACTTCGGCAAAGAGTTCAACGAACTTCTCACTCAACTTGGACCGAACCTCACCCTCAAAACCATATATCTTGTTCATGCTCTTGCTTTCATGGTTCCCTCTAGCAAGATATATGGCTGAAAATTCACAAATTACAATAAGGTTAAGCAAAAGATTATAAAAAAGAACATCAAGGTAATATATATAGCAAGTATTCAAAGTACTTGAAAGAACTTACATGAAGGACACATGCACTTAAACGCAAACAGAGTCAGGATTATCTCAACAGAAAAGGATCCTCTATCCACAAAGTCACCATTGAACAAGTATGGATTCTCCTCAGAAGGGAGGCCATTAAGCTCAAAAATGTTTAAGAGATCATAGAACTGCAAAAGTAAAACAAGGTGTCAAAAGGAGAACCAATAATAGTATACAACGCAATGCACAGCCCTTGATAAAAATAATAAAATCAGTTAGTATGTGCAACATTTATTAAAATTTCAAACATACATAATCACAAGAACTGGAGATTGTCGAGGATCTCAGATTCATTTGAAAGAAAAAAGTTATGTAAGTAGGGTGAGTGACACAGAAGTCTACCTGACCATGAACATCACCGCAGACCGTGAAATGCTTGCCATCAGGGACACTGATATCAACCAGAGAAGGCAGTGCTTGCAAGATTTTCCTTGTCTGTAAGACAATTTGATATGCATACCTACAGATATTAAGCAATGTAAACTATGAGCAGACGACCAAAAACAATGTGTTAATTACGCTCAACACTACACCAAACAATACGAACCGTTTATGCAATGTCTTTTGGTTCTTGAACTCTTCCAGCATTTGTTTCACAAAATCCAAGGTAACTTCCTCTCCCTCGATTCTAGCACCAGAGTATTGTGATTCAACCTCTGAAATTGCAAAGAAGAATATCAGTAGATTGATAAAGGGTTACAACCTCTATAACAACAAACACCAGTTTCCAATGAATGTTAAAAATTGAAGAACCATGACAAACTTTTATGAAATGTTCACTCCTGTTGAGATGGTTTTGATCAATCTTAAACCATACAGTTCTAAACAGAGAATTCAAGAACGGAAACACATTCAGGCTTAGATATGCATGAAAACAATCTACGTTGATCTTAGGAGGAGGAAATAACCAGAGAAAAGACATGGCATAACAAGGGAAGACAGAAGCAACGGTGGCAGAACAAACAATACAACATAAAGATAAGTAAGCAGATGGATGATACCAATTGTGTGGAAGTCAATGGACTCAGCGACTGAGATCCTTTCAGATACGGGTACAGAGATTGCTTCTTCAAATTTCAGTTTCTTCACTGCTTTCTCACACTCTCTTAGTTTCCTTGTCGCATCAGGGTCATTAGGACAAATCCTTTTAACCTACAAATACAAATAATAGACCATGTCAGTAATACCGGACACACAAATATCTTTTACCAGATAAAGAACCACCACCAAACTCTACGCACATCATTCTACTGACAAGGTTCCAGGATCACATCATTTTACTAGATCACTCAAACAGTTAAGGAAAAGAACTATCAAGGANCATCAGGGTCATTAGGACAAATCCTTTTAACCTACAAATACAAATAATAGACCATGTCAGTAATACCGGACACACAAATATCTTTTACCAGATAAAGAACCACCACCAAACTCTACGCACATCATTCTACTGACAAGGTTCCAGGATCACATCATTTTACTAGATCACTCAAACAGTTAAGGAAAAGAACTATCAAGGACAGCTACCAAACAATAGAGAGTATAACCAAGAGCTTAAAATGGTTGTTACAAACATAACCTGTTGGAAATCCTTCAAGGCATCCTTAAATTTTCCCATGGCAAGATACGCCGCACCACGTCTGTAATAGCCCTGTGATATAGTATATAATCAGCAAACAAAGCTGAATGCAACTGACAACAACAGTAAGCAACAATGTTACCTTAGAGTATTTGGGATCAATTTCAATGGCCTTTGATGCATCCTGTATCGCACTGCCATATTCCTCCAACTTTGTGTGAGCAAATGCACGGTTTGCCCAATACACAGCGTTGTTACCATTGATTTCTATAGCTTGTGTATACAGATCAATAGCCTGGGAGAATTTGTGACCTGTAAGCAAGTACCAATACTTTAGCGAGCTGTTTATAAATCCAAAAGAAGAGTATTTTTATTGAAATCAAAACTGGTACAAACCTTTAAAGGCTTCGTTGGCCTGATTCTTCATCTCCTCGGCCCGTGAAACATCAGAGTTCTCATTCTTAGTCTCCATATTATCTCGATTTTGCCGTCTTAGTTATCCAATGAAACCAGAACTGATTGACAAGAAGCAGTATAACTAAGGTCTCACAATAATAAAATTCAATAAGTTCTACTTAACAAGGTTAAGAGCTTTAAATATTGTAATCAATACTCAAAACTAAATAAAGTTCAAATTTTTATTTATCACAATACAAAGCAAATTGACTTAAAGACACATGTAACAAGATTCATAGCACGAAGAGAACTCATTCACACAATCAGTTAAGATGTATAACAGATTTGCTACAGGATAAAGTTGCGAACTTTATTATATTCTGCATCGTTTCTAAATTGGCACGACGAATCCATGAAGGTAAGAAGTCGATCAGTTAAATTACAGACAAATTCAATGAAAGATCTATTAGAACTAAGATAAGATACAAAGCAAAAACAGGACAAGAGAGCCACCGTGTGTTCTGTCGGAAAATCAAAGTAGTCCAATTAAATACCTGAAAAAGGCTCAAACTTGGAGATAGGGGAAGAGGGTAGAGCTTTGACGAGTGTGAGACGTAGCCAGCAGCAGCCACACAAAGAGTTTATGCGCTTCCTTGAATCTATGAGAAGAAGGGTTTTTGGAAATATAGTTATTAAATTTTCCGCTAAAAAAATTATTTACCAGTAAATAAAAGACGAAGAGATATGTTGAAAATATCAAAACTATATAGTTTCATATGGAAAATAAGAAAACAGTCACGTATGTAAATATATCTCGTGTGCAATGGGCTTTGAGGTGTAGCAATCACGGGTTTATGAGTAAAAGACCGGTTCATTTCATTAATAAACATATCTAAAATATTAAAATTAAAGTATGTTTATTACTTAATCATGATTCTTCCATAATAATTACCAACTCTTGTCATTGATTAAAACATAGTAGTTTTATATTTTATCATACCCATTTTGTGCAAGTCCACATATTAACAAAATAATATAGCTCAATATTACTATTTAGCTATAATGATTTGAATGTCATGTTTTTGTATATTAATACTTTGGAGATCACATATTTACTAGGGTGAATTAGTTAAATACTTTGTGAATACTGAGATACCATAAAAAATGAGGGAAAAAAGTAGTAAATGGAGGAGGAGAGAGATAGAGGGAAATAGGTATATACCTAATTTGATGGTTTTGTGTGTATATACAATGCAAATACTCTATTTACTAACTAATTAATAACATAGTATATTAATACATAGTTACAAGTTTTTTGTGATACACCTACATAAATGAAATATTTTGTGTTCATCAAAAATAAATTTTAGTACATAACATAATACAAAAAAATATGGTATGACCAACAAAAACAAACTAAAGTAACAAAAATGAAACTATTAAACGAAATCATTAAATTATTGTACTCTAAAAATGAAACTCTCAAAAACAAACACTTGCACAATTATAAAAAAAAACAATCTCATAATTTATAAATGACAACTAATCACATTGAGCAATACACACACATGCCACACCCGAATAACATATGAAATTCTAGCATTATCAATACAAAAAAAATAAATTTATCAGATTTTCACAAATTAAAAACATATAATTATGAAAACAAACATCCGTGCGTACACGCAGATCAAAAACTAGTTACACTTTATACAGTATATTGAACGGTTTAGTTAAACCATGTAATTTAGTTATCAACTTTAATACTACAGTCTATAAGGTTTAGTTAAACCGTATAATTTAGTTATCAACTTAAATACTAGTATACTATAGTCTATGTATATGAAGTATATACTATATGTATTACACTTTATGATTTACACGGTTTAATTAAACCAAACTAAACCGTTCAATAAATTCTTAATAAAGCAGAAATAATAATAATAATAATAATAATAATAATAATAATAAACAAAAAAAAAACAAATTACTTTCAATTTGTAGTAAAGTTGTGCTTCTTGATTATTTGGGTTCAAGGCACAAGAGTCTGAAGAGTGTTTTTTTGTTAAAGTGTTAGATTCTAATGTTAGTTTGAATAGTCTCTTGATGTTTGTTTAATCAGACTGAGAGTCATCCAAAATGAATCTGGTTAGTGTTTTTTTTTCTAAAGAGAGATGACTTCTTCTTTAGTATTTTTGTTCATAGAGAAGAAAGAACACAATTTGTCAGTACTGTAAATTTTCAACCATATCTTTTTTTACCATCGATTTTTTACGCTAGACAATCTATAACACATAAACATACAAACACTATCGAAATAAAGAAAGCAAAGAGTAAGTTTTTTTTTATTCTTATCTTCCATCTCAATGCTTCTTTGTTTCTCTCTCAGCCTAAAATTAAGAGAGGAATCAAGTTTAAAATCCAAATTATGTATTAGATATAAAAAAAATGAGAATCAGAATAATATATACCGCTTTGATTGCTTTCTCAACCGAGTCCCATCCAAACCGGTCAACATAATCTTGAACTGATTTTCTAGCATCAAGACTCATCATCTGTAAAACTCTTCTCTGTTCATCTGTATAATTGGTTCCTTCTCCAATATGCATCCCAAACTGAACGTATTTTCTTACAAAATTTGAGTAGATGTAAGCTGCACCACTGAACATTGGTAACACCAACCACATGCAGAACAAAAGTTTCAAGTATGGCCAAAATGGTAGCCTGCAAAATGGCCAAAGAAACAATTAATATTTTATATTAGTTTTTATAACATATTATCATATTTATATATCTAATTTCTTCACAGAATTTTAAGAGGAGTATCATTATTATTACCAGGCAAGGACTCTCCAAACGGATAACTCGAATATTGTAATTAAGGAGTAAATGATCCAATATGTTAGCCATTGTTGATCATCTAACATCGTTGGACTCTCTATTGCTCGTAACGATGCATACCTACTCATTCATTCATTAAGGAGTAAATGATCCAATATGTAAGCCATTGTTGATCATCAAATTAAACATTCAGAAATTGATTTTACTTACAAAGGATAGAGAAGCATAACTCCCGGCCTGCATGCACCAAGAACAGGAAGATGTTAAATAGACTTGACAAATCTTATAAGACAAAAAAATTCATGAAAAACATACCCAATCAGAGCATCAAAACGTTTTGCAATTACAATAATGACACCCATTTTTTTGAGCGTTTACTCTGTCTGTTCTTATAAGATTTTGTTCTTTTTGTTTTTCTCTTTGAACAAACGTCTTTAGCACTATGGCGTTGGATATATACACAAAATTTAAAATTTTCTTCAAGCAAGAATCTTTTGTAAATAAGGTAACAAGCAAGGTAAAGAATCTCCAACCCATTGATACATTTCATGAAACTTATATATTGCTTCTATGTTCTAAGAAAAGAAGAAAATATCGGAGTAATTGTGGGTGAAAATTTCACATGAAGGAAATCTAAAGTATTAGGTTTAGTATAACTCTCTTCATTCTTCAAATAATATTTAGTATTCATTTTATTTTGTAAGAGATTCTTTTCTTTGTGCACAAGGGTTAGTCATCAATAAATCATGCATTAATTACTGATATTGGACGTATTACACAAATTGATAATGATCATCTAGTCTGCGGCTTTGTGAAATTTGAGCAATTTACTTGTCTAATCTGAGTCTTTATACGATCTTTCTTACCTATGTACATATATACTTGTCTTCATTCAATTAAAATTCATTAGTAATCATTTTATGTGAGAAAGATTAATATTTATTGTCACTGAGCTGGTAAAAGTAACATTTATGTTACCTCTCTTTTTACGCAACTATATAGTTCTATTTTCATTACCATCTTATTTGATAAGGAGTTTTTTGTCACTGGGCTAGTAAATAATCACCCAATATGCAATCTATTGTTTCACGCTAACTCTCAAGGAAAGAGAACTAGAGAATTCAAATTTCAAAGCATTTTAAGAAAATTTGCAACGAAAGTGAATCAAAGTCCTACCAAATCTCAAGTTCCTTCCTGAAATTATTTTTTGCACAATTTAAAGCTAATTTCTAAAGAATGTAGATATATATATATATATATGTGTGTGTGTGTGTTGTTCGTGAAGAAAATTGAAAAGAAAGTAAGTACAAGAAAAATGACGGGGTATGGGCAAAACCAAAAAGAGTTGATTAGCTGCCTTTTGTAACCTATACATTAATTAATGCAAATCTATGAAAGGGTTTATGGATAATGACTATACATATGATCAGTAATCGCCCGTGGGCTCTCTGCTCTCATTTACTTGATTAGTTTCATATTCCCTAATTATATTGTCGCCTACATGATGCATTTTCTTGCTTAAATTAATATGTGGAGGATGTTACAGCAAAACAATAAACCTCTAATATTCAAGTTGCCGTTGGACTAACCCATTTTCCAAAATAAGACACTCGAACATAAATTTAGGAAAAGACGAAACCAGTTCAGCTATATAAACTCTTAGATTGCCATTTTATCAAGCAATTTACTCTTCAACAAACCATTATTATTTATTGTTAGGAATTATATGCACACATATATTCTTAAGTTCTGCGTTTGATTTTACCTTTTTAGTCTAAGAATACTACTGTTATGATTTATTATTTAACTTGAAAATCATCTAAACATCACACAAATTCAAAATGTATAAAAGAGAATTAAGCCTGAATTCTCATTCATTGGCTCTCATGATACATGATCAATTGTAAGACTTCGAATACAACCACTATCAAAGAAGCAAATTCTTATCATATCATGTCAGTTGGGTTAAGTTTGGTTTAATTGGAATACATAATAATTCAAAAAATATAATAACAATAATATAATGCCAGCTTAATATTAAATATTAATGCAGGAGTAGGACAATAAAAAGAAAAGATGAAATAAAAAGGATTTACCAAAAAGGGAGAATTTTCAAAAGTTGATTCTGATGAGAAACAGAGCCCATACCTCTCTTTTTTTCCCTAGACATGAAAGAAAAATTGGATGGTCCTCCTTCAATGCTCTCTCCCACCCAATCCAAACCCAACTCTCTTCTTTTTTCTATTTTGATATTTTCTGAATTGCCATCAATTTTTAAAATTCAATCTAAATGTATACATACATAGATAATTAAAATAATCAGGTACAAGATTTTTGGAAATAATTTTGTTTTAGAGTAATGGTCCATTTTCTTTATTTATTTTTCTTTTATAACATTTGGGATTGAAAACTACCAAACCTTCTGTGTTCTGCAAGTGGGGTTTAAAATACTTTCAAGGAAATATTCCTTTAAGAGAAAATGTAAACCAAAACAGAAATCAAAACAAAAATAAAGTGGGAAGAAGCAGTTAAGTGGTACTGAATTAATAAGAATAGTATCTCTATGCAAAAACTAATTCTCTTAGCTAGATTTCATCTTCCCCATCTCACTTTTCTTTTCTTTTTTATCACAGTTTATACATATCCAGGTATACTATTGATAGGAAGCACTAAATAAACCTAAAGTTTCAAATTTCGTAATAAAATGTTCTTCCTTTTTTTCTTTATTTAATCCTTAAATCTTGGAGTACATTAAGGCTTTTGTTTTTCACTTAATATTTTAAACCCCAGTTTTTGTAATCAAAGGTTCTTGATTTTCTCATTAAAATCTTAGTAGCTATATAAGTC